AATTTGCTTTGAATGTTGTTGTGATTAGATTTGATAATTTTAAATAATAATAATAATAATGTTATAAATTTTAAAATTTAATAAAAATTATATATAAATTTAATAAAAATAAAATAAAATTTATATTTAATGTATCAATATAAATTATGATATAATAATTTTGATATTTTACATATATTAAATATAAAATAAATAAATACAGATAAAATGTATAATTATGAGACCCTTTGATAACAACTAACAATTGATTCATAATTATGTCTTTTCTTTTGTTTTAATTCACAGTACCTAATTTTCGTCGCACTTTTGCTTTTCTTCCTCTTCTTTTTCTACTCCATTTTTTTTAATAGAAAAAATCAATCACAACACCAATTGTCACTCTCTATAGATAATATTGATTTGTAGCAAAAATATATATATGTACAACACAGTGATTCCTTATTAGTATTTCTTTACTACAAAGCGCTTATATGTACATCTCCTAACATGTCTATAGCTAGCAAGGGAAGTTTGCTTCTTGTTATTTGCTAGCTATACCTTTTCTTCACTGCTTTTTCTATATATTCAAGGTCTTGCACAGGCATTAATTAGTCAGTCGGGAGAGCCTCGAGGCTGGTAATTTTTAATACCAATTTTCAGTTTTCTTTTATGGTGTTCATATAAACCAGGAGAACATTTGACTTTTTGTGTTTCATGCTTGTAATGATTTCTTTTCTCGACTTTGTTTGATTTATATATACTACTATATTCTTGTATTGGCTTTCCAGTTATTTAAGATTTACGTTTGGGAAAAGTATATTTACACTTTGAAATTTGAAAAAAACACACACTTGCTTTATTAGTTTGAAAAATATTTGATTTGATAAAAAATAACATTAATCTCTAAATTGTTATTTACAAAATTAATTTTCAATAAAAAAACCATTTGTTAATTATTACTCATTAATTCTTCTATTTATTTTTTTTCCTTTTCTTTTCATTATATATCTCTTCCAGCGGTCAACATTGGATCATTGGTAGGGATGAGAGAAAATTGAGAAATCAAAGATCAATTGAAAATTGTAATGCATAGTTTAGTTCAGATTAGTTTTTTTTTTATTTAGTTCAAATTAAGTTTAGATATTAAATATATATTAACGTTGCATTAGATTTTGAGTTAGGAAGTGAAAATCAAAAAAAAAAATGAATTGAATGAAATTATATATTTTTATTAGTTTAATATATATTTTAACTTTTTATAAAATTAAAATAATTAATATATATAAATATATTAAAATCATATTAAAAATATATATAAAATAAAAAAGTTAAATTTAAAAAGCTGATGAATAAAATTGAATCAAATCGGCATAATTCAATTCAAATAGCACTTGTATGAAAATTTTGTTCGGATTTGAATTTGATTTTAAAAATTCATAATTTTATCCATTATTTGAAAAAATCAAAACAAATCTGATCTAATCCAAATTGTTATCACTCTTAATCATTGGCAAGGAAATTTTTAGGTTATTGATTTTCAGATATTATTGATTTTCAGATCTTCATTCACTTCTTTTTTTTTTTTTCAATTCTAAAAAAAATCTCTCAAGAAATGTCAGCAATGCTTTTACTTCAAACTAGAGTGATAGCCACGCTTTGCGCTAGCAGCTGATAACTTTTGAAGATATGCGGGCTTCAGATCTGGATCCAAACTCACGCGAATTTTGGATTTGAACTCATTTTACACGCAGATTTTTTTAAAAAAGCAATATAAAAACTCTTTCTTTCTTCAACTTGTTTTTTTTTTTTTCATTTCACTTCTCTCTCTAAAAATCGCATTCTTCATCTAAAAATTTCTTAATAAAAACACAACTAGTCACTCAAATTATCCAATTTCCAACCATAGCCAAAATTTCACTGCCATTCTCCACTTTTTACCATAGATCATCGGCATCGAAAATCACCCAAAATCCACTCACCAAATCCTCTTAGCCTCCTCTACACTACTATCATTTAGTTTTTTCAAAAATTCTCTTGTTTATTCTATATCTACGAGCAAAACTGGCAGCTTCTTACATTTATTTCCTTTGTTCCAACATCCTGAGCTCTTGTTACGTTAATTCTCTTTTCACGGCCTTCATTTCTATTGTTTTGCTTTTCTCAAAGCTCATTACCCTCCATAAGCTACCATACATCCACACCCCATGCCACCGCCACCACCACCACCATCGTTGACAATGGCTTCTTTGTTTTCCTTTTCCCTTCCCATCAAATGGTCTAAAAATAAAAACTTTCCAAATACTTAAATGTCCTTTTAATCCAAAACGAAAATCATAAACATCTTATTTTCTCTTTTTTTTCTTTCTTTCTTTCTCAGATTTGTTTGGTGTATGGTTGTTTGAGTTGTGTTTGTAGATGTTGTGAGATTGTTGTGGGATGGCTATGTGTGTGTGTGTGAGTTTGGGATTGGATTTGATGAGTTTCTTATTATTTGGTGGCAAGGATAATTGGTTGTCCTGTTAAAATTGTGGTCGTGTACACATGTGTACGTGAATGTGTATGGGTCTTTTGTAATATTAAGTGTTAATGTCATAAATAGCTCTTATGCTACAATGAAATGTTTAATTTGATATTTAAATTTTAAAAATTTTTAATATATTATCAGAACTATAAATCTATTTATTAATATGGTACTTTTAAGATTGTTTGTCCATTACATGTTATCATTTGAAGCTAGCTATGCATATTAGAGTTAAGTACCACATTGTTAACATATTCATAGTTTTAAGTACCACATTAAGCATTTCATTATAATTTTAAAGTCATTTATGACATTAACTCTAATATTAATAATGATTAAGAATAAAATAATAATTTCATAATATTAGATGTGTTAAAAAATTAAAGGATAGTTCTAGAATAGATTATTTGTTTCATTTGATTCTAGTTGGTTGTAGGGATATAATTTGTTTGCTTGATTTTCTTTCATGCATCTATTATTATATAATTTTCTCTTTTTTTTTTGGGTTATTTGTATGTTTTATTTCGCACCCTTTCCCCCATTTTACTATAACTAATGCTTGTCATGCATGTGTAATTTTATATATGTTTAAAAAATATAAAAAATATAAATTAATCAAAAGTTATCAAAATCAAAATTATATAAAAACTTATCAAAATCATATAAAAATTTATTAAAATTGTAGCCAAGAGTACTAAGATTCTATCAAATATTACTAAAATTTTATCATTGATCACAAACATTATATCATAAGTTATCAAAATTATATTAAAAGTTACTAAAATTATATTAATAAGTTATTATCACAATTTTATAAAAAGTTTCAAAATTGTGTCCATGATTAGTAAAATTATATTATATATTACCAAAATAATATAAAAGTTTACTAAAATTTTTTCAAAGATTATCAAACTTATAACAATGGTTATCAAATTATGTCAAAGGTATTTAAAATAAAAATTATATAAAAGGTTATCAAATTATATTAAAGGTTATCAAAATTAAAATTTTATTAAAAGTTATCAAAATTATATCAAAACTTACCAAAATTGTATCCAATGTCACCAAAATTATATCATAAGTTTTCTCGATTGGATTAAAAATTACCCTAATTATATTATGATTACAAAAACTTTTGTCAAAACTTACTAAAATAGTATCAATGGTTATTAAAATTATATCATAAATTACTAAAATAATATCAAAATTTATCGAAATTATATAATAAATTACCAAACTTTTATTATAATAAAACCTACTTAATATATTCAACAATTTTATTTAAGGAAATTTTTATAATTTAATTATATTAATCTTATAATTTTTGCTTTTTAATATGTGTTATTTCTTTTTTAACTTTAATTAATGTTAAACTCCAATAAAATTACATTTTACTTTTACAAACGAATTAAAGAAAAATTACATTCAATATTTAATTTCAACAATATACCTAACTCAAAACTTGACTTAACTTGCCCAATTGCCACTTCTAAATCGATGCTTATTTCTTTTTTCTTATACACACAAAAAAGATCTTTTTATATTTTATTAGCTGTTGTTATTAACAAAATTTGTTTAAGTTTTCTTGGATAATTTTTTCTAAACATTTATGGAACCTACATTAAAACAAATTTGAATGAAAATTCAAAAAAGGAGATATTAAAATTGAGAAATAAAAACTCCCTTAAATATTGTAATCATTAATTTTAATCCACCACAATAATAATATCAAAATTCTAATCAATTGCAATAGCCAAATAAAAAAAAAAAAAACCAATTGAAAGTAATATCATGAAACATAATAAATAACTTTCTTAATGGTCCAACCCCTAAACCAACTCTAATCTATTTAATCAACCATCAAGTTGTCCATTTTCATGGATGCTAATGACTTTTCAACGAAAGTCTAGTTTTCATATAAAATAAAGACTACTTAAATAATTTAATTAATAAAATTTTAATAATGATTAAATTATATATATTAAAATAATCCAACCATTATGCTTTGCTAATATTATCAAGGAAAATAAAATATAACATGAAATTGACTACAGTACAATAAACAAATTAAGATGAGACAAAGAGTTTTTATATTTTTCATAAAAAATAATGTAGCCAAAACAAAAAAGCTAGTTTATGTTAATGCATGTAACCCACAGTTGTTAGTTATCTTGATCGATGAACATAGATATCTAATACTTTTTCTACCAAGAACAGGATACGATTGCTACGGACTACAAGTAAAGAGTTATCTCGGGCCAATGTTAGAAATTTCTTACATGTTTACTTTTCATGCTTATTATAATGACATATATACACAATTGCATCAATTTTCATGCTAGAAAATTGCTTTGTAAGAAATATATATTCCTAATCAAACGAAATAAAATTTTTTACCTTCAATATTCTATAAAAATGAAACTACTAATAAATTCAAAATAAAATTCCTAATAGCATTAATTATTTCACTTTCTTTATTGAAATGTATTGAAGTGTTTCTCTCTTAATTTCTTGATATTCAAAATACACATTCTTAAGTTTGCTTGTAGGTGTATTGGGCTATTTTCTGAGACAAACATAACTATTTCAAACCCTGCAAGTTATCATGTTATCCTCCTCCTTAAATATCTTCTACTAGGGTTCTATAGTTACCAAGGAAGTTTGCTTCTTGCTATCTGCCAGCCATTTTTTTCTTCACTGTTTTTTCTTCCCTGTTGGAGGTCTTGCAGAAGTATCAGACTACCAAGGGGGTTCAAATTAGCAGGTAATTTTCAATTCAGTTATTTCCAATTTCCTATGATGTTGACTTTACAATGATTGTATTTTAACTTTAGTAAAAACATTGTTCAGATGATTTTATATGGTCTTGTTTTGAACATGAATATTTGGTCAAGCAAGATGAACAATTGTGATTCGACTTAGCTTTAATTATAAAAGTAGTACTGGGTATTGCTGAAAATCAACAAAAAGTTTAATTTATTGATGTTCAAAATTGATTTTATTAAGTTTGTTTGTAGGTGTATTACGCTAGTTTTTGAGATAAACGGAACTATTTGAAATCCTGCAAGTTATCGTGTTATCTTCCTCCTACTCCATGTTGGCTCCATCTTCTTCATCATCTTCTTCCATTTATCCATGGAAATACGATATTTTCTTGAGTTTTAGGGGTGAAGATAGCCGGAAGAGCTTCACGGACCATCTATATGTTGCTTTAAAACAGTCCGGAATCAACACTTTCAGGGATGATAACAACCTTAAAAGAGGCGAGGACATCGCACCCGAGCTCTTGAAAGCAATTGGAGAATCATGGGGTTCAATAATCGTTTTTTCAAAAGGATATGCTCTTTCAAGTTGGTGTTTAGATGAGCTTGCCGAGATTGTGAAACAGAGGGAGGAAAGGGGACATCAAGTTTTTCCAATTTTCTATGATGTTGAAGTCTCCGATTTAAGACATCAAAGACAGAGGGTTCAAGAAGCCTTTGACATGCATGAAAAGAGATATAAGGAGAACAAAGATAAGACGCAAAGGTGGCGAGATGCTTTATCCCAAGTGGCTAATATCAGTGGATGGATTTTGAAAGATCAGTAAGTTATAGCTTCATTTTTTTATCTTTTGGAAGTTTAAACTCAAGACGTTCAATCCTTGACTTGACTCCAGTAATACTAAACTAACAGTTAATAGGTAGTTATAACTCTTTCTTTCTTTACTAGAGTTCAATTTTTTTCTTTTTTGTAATTTATCAAATAAAAAATATATGTCGACAAATCTTTAGATTTAATAAAAATATAGATTTTAATTGATCGCTTATTTGATATCATTGTCATTTTCAGTTTCACTAAGCTATATTTTTTTATAACTATAAATGTTTGTTTTCTTTTTTGCAGGCATGAATCGAAATTCATTGAAACTATTGTTAAAGAGATATCAGCAAAATTATCTCAAACATGTTCACAATTGAAAGAGTTGCATTCCAAACTCAATATAAGACAAGATGATGCCGAAAGAACTGTAAGTCATTTTACAAAGACTATACATTTGATTATTATTATTTTTTTAAAAGAAAAATTACTATATCTAGTCAGTATGCCCATGAAAAATTAGTTAATAGCTAAATTTTATTATATATGACATTAGTTTGTAAATTCAATAAATTAGGATTAGACCATATGTTAAAATTACCATATTAATTTAATGGGACCTAATTCATAATATTAATGTGAAGTCACCCATTTTTATTATGACAATTTTCGTAATATCATATAGTTTAATTTATTTTTTCTCAACCAAAAAGTTTTTTGAATAAAATGATAGATACTACTTTCTTACTATGAACTTTTTTTTATGGAATTTTAGTAGATAAATAAATCCAATATGTTACTATATACCAAGAGTGGCTCTTTTAAAAATCTAAAAAGAAATTTAAATTCTTACTTATTTAGTTAGACGTGCACTTGTTTTAAAGTCAAAAGTATTTTATTTTAAATATTCTTAAATATATTTTTAAAATAAAAATATGTTATTTATTAATAAAAATAATATAATGAATCGGACAAAATCTAGGGTCTAAAAACTTAAGCCCAAGCTTATGATACCGGCTTGGTCGGGTAGCCCAATTATTGAATTCTTCTAATACCCCATATGTAATGTAATTATGACTACTAGACTAGCGAATATGGGCTACCTTTTATTCTTTTTTTAGTATGATTTGCACAATTATACTTCACACAAAACAGTATTGAATTTTGGATTTTTTTTTTTTCCGTTTAGGGGCCTCTAAAATACTAACGCTAATTTACTAGGGATAGAAAATTATTGATTCTTTTATTAAATAAACATGTCTTAGATTCACACCCTTAATAGTCAACTTGTCTGATTAAATTAAATTATCGTCTTTAATTGGCCAATAAAATTTTAAATATGCTCCTTTGGAAATTTACTGCGTCTATTTATATGGTTGTAAAATTCATCAATTTGGTTTGTGATATACACATTTATTGTTATGTATGTAGGGACCTGAAGCAGTGGATTTTTTTCACAAAAAGATGGATGAAGATACATCGTTATCCTGTAATAGCTCGTCTGCGGAGGAAGATCTAACTGAAAACGCGGAGATTCGTCATGTCGAAAGTGAGGGTGAAATCATCCCTCCAAATTCTGAAGCTTCACTTGAGATTGGGGAGAAACAAATCAATCAACATGGAGTTGCATCTTGTCATAGCCCGTCTCCCTGCATCTTTAGAACTCCTTACCCTGAATTACGTTTCCAGACTTATCCTGAATTATATTTCCAGAAGCCTAATATGGTTTCTATTGGCCCTTATCACAGGGGTGAAAACCTTCCACTCGAAAATAACAAGTACTTCTTCCTTGAGAAATTTATATCTCGGACAAGAAACCAAGGCAAAGATTTACGCTTCTGTGTCCAGTATATGATGACACTGGAACGGTGTACGAGAAGATGTTACTCCGAGGATTTGTCAATGTCCAGTCTCGATTTCGTTGAAATGATGTTAGTTGACGCTTGCTTCATACTGGAGGTCCTACGCCATTTTGGTAGGAGTGAAGAATCTGAAGATGGGTTTTTCCCCATTGAGCCATGGAAGATCCCCATTTTGGTTCTAGACTTGCTCATGTTAGAGAATCAAATTCCTTTCTTTGTCTTAGAGAAGTTGTTTGATTTATCGGAGAGCGGAGAAGGGACAGCAACACTTTCTGTAACCACTATGGCCTTGAATTTTATCGGTCTAGCCTTCCCTGGATCCATGGATTTCAGCTGCAAGTCCAACCATTTGGAAGCCAACCATCTGCTTGACTTGTTTCTTGAGTCTATCCGCCCATTAAACAGATCCACCATCTCAAATTCACTCCATTTGAAAACAATGGTCATTCCAAAGTCAGTTCGCTCATTTCTCAAGAAAATCAATCCGAAAAACCAAGCAGGTCTCTCAAAAATAGGTCAGGATATCCTTTTAGAAACCCCTGCGACCGTTCCAAAGCCAAAGGAATCCGAATCATCAATCTCAATGGGAGTCAAACCTGAACAACAATGTGATCCTGCACCTCCAGTTCACTTAATGAGAAGTGCAATGGAACTACGGTCATCAGGTATAAAGTTCAGGCGGAGAAGAGCTAATAGGTTCACAGATATCAATTTCAAGAATGGAGTACTTGAAATCCCACCTGTGATCATCAATGACCTCTTTCTCGCAATGCTTATTAACTGCATGGCCTTGGAACATTGTTCTGCGCAGCGGTCCAAAGATTTGACTGCTTATGTCTCATTCATGAGTAGTCTCGTTACACATTCTACCGATGCAGAGTTGCTAAGTTCAAATGGAATTATCTCAAGATTTTCCTACGATGACAAAACAGTGGCAGAGTCTTTCCATTCGTTAGCGGTAGAAACTTTTAATCTGGACATTCAAGATTCCTATCTTTCCAAGACATTGAAGGAAACAGAACGCTACTATACTATTTGGAAAGGAAACATGCGTTGGTGGCGTTGTTTTCGTAGATATTTTGGGATTGCTTTATTCTGCATCACAAACTTCATGTTTGCTTTCAACCGCTTGACATCGGGCCTTAATTGGATGCTCCATTTATTAAAAGAAATTAAATTTCTAGTGCACAGCCCCCTGGACTTGGGCCTTAATTTTATGCTCCATTTAGTAAAAAAAATTAAATTTCTGGGGCACAGCTGCCTGGTCTTGGACCTGAGCGACATTTTGGTTTTTTGTTTCGTCTATCTGATCGTTGTTATTATGATCCTCATGCGTCCAAAGCATGGCTCCAACATTGTTGATGATTGCGAAATTCCTGCTCTTTCAACACTTACAGATGTCGGACATTCACTCGATATAAGTGAAAAGTCAGTGGACGACAGTACTGGAGTCTCATGTTCTTATGAGACAGCAATGGATAACGGCAAGGACATAGAACCAGACCAAGACAAGAGCCATGAGGTTCTGGAAGCCGAGCAGGTAAACATTTTATAGTAACTGCATAGTAAATAATAGAAAATTAAGTAATAAATAAAAAATAATATAGTAGTAATTGTAAAATAACATATTAATAAATTATTGAAACTTAATAGTAATAAATTACTAATAATTTAATTATAAATCATTAATAATTTTAAAGTAAATTATCAATAAATTATAGTAAATAAATTATAATTTTATAATAAATTATCTGTAATTTAGTACTAAATTATCATTAATTTAATAGATAATTTAGTAGTAAATCATTGATAACATAATAGCAAATCAATGACAATTTAATTATCAATTATTGAAATTTTTTAATATTTGAAATTGTCATCAATTGAACTTTGATTACTAGCAAAAATAAAACTAGAACTTTCATCTTAGGAGGCTAAGATAAATCTATAATAAACATATTCAATAAAATAATTTAGTGAAAATTTTCTAAATTTGAATGAAATAAAAATGTTATTATATAAAAAGAAAATATCTTATATTAGAATGGAACATATGCTTTGTTGTAAGAATCAATTGTTAAAAATATAATGACGTAAATTTTATCAATAATTACCAAAAGAATATCATATATTACTAGAATTATATAAAATGTTACCAAAATTACATCAAGAGGTTACAAAAATTTTATAAAAAATTATCAAAATTATATCAATGTTTAAAAAATTTATATCATAAGTTACTAAACTAATATTGAATGTTATCAAAATTATATCCAAAGTTATCAAAATTTTATCAAAGGATATAAGACTTTTAACCAAGGTTACCAAAATATATCAAATGTTATTAAAATCAAAATTATATCAAAAGTTATAAATTTTACTTATATCAAAATTATATCAAACTTAAACTGTTAACATTTCTTATTGTTATTATTATTATTATTTTGAATGTACTAAAAACTTATTTATTGCATTGAATTTTAGGAAATAAAAATTATACGTGAATTATGCACTTGTAAAAAACTAGTATATGTATAAATAAATATATATTACATCATCACATGCTTTCCATGGTTTCAATAAGCCCGTGATATTAAGATCAAGCATTATTAGATAAAAGGCTATAGAATTTTAGCAAAATGCTTGGCCATCGTTATAAAATCTAAATCTTAATTTTGAAAAGTTTGGATTATAAGTCAGAAATCCATGAAAACCTGCCTTATCATGAGCATTATATCTGCCCACCTTTTACGCAAATAATCAACCTTTACTTCCCATGTTCTGTTAATTTTTCCTGCTTGTCATGATTGTTTTCTCTTCTCTGTTTGATTAATGCTACTCCTTTTCTTCTATTACTGATACTGGTTTTCTACAAATATTGTTTAATATTTACATTTTAATTTGGTTATTTTTCTGGCTCGATAGTAATGTAAATATTATGATCAAGCTATCATAAGGATGTTAATGGCTAAGGTAACGGTAGGATAGATCATTCCTCATCCCCATATCTGAATTTTTATATTATACTCATATCCGTACTCATATTCAACATATATTTTAAATTTATCTCCATCCTTATTCCTATAGTTATTTAATGGGTATGGTTAATCTTCATACCCGTAACCTTTTTAAAAAATAAAAAATAAAATTTATTTTTTAATATTTTTTACTTTTATCTTGTATATTTAGATTTCTTATTAACATATATTTTTTTAATAAAATATATTAATTCTAATTAATCTAAAATAATCATTTATATTATTTAATAAAAAATATCTATTTACTAAACATATATAAATATATACAAGGTACAGACGTACAGGTATTATATTACCCGTCTCCATCCTCATAACCTATAAAAATTTAAAATCATTCTCATTTGCATCTTTATACCCACGATATAATATCCATCCCCATCTCCATTCAAATAAAAAATGGGATTCCCTCTTGCGTATGAATAAAATTGATATCCTTAAGCTATCAGTTAAAAAGCAAGCTTAGCAATGTGATGAAATTAATCACTTTGGCTTAAGTAATAATAATAGTATTGCGTTGAAAATATATATGTATTGAAGAGATTATTGGATTTTAAGGACCCATAGATTGATAGAGTTCAAGTGAAAATTAATATGTAAAAAAAAATATTAAAAATGTTGTTTATAATTCAAATTTAATCAGTATTTATTCACGGTAAAAATTCTGTTAATATTTTTACTAAAAATGTCTATCTAAAAATATATATCAAAATTTATTAAAATTTTTTTAAAATTTGTACTTTTGATCTATGTAATGAGATCTTTCAATTTATTGATTTTGATTTTAGTTTTTATTTAATCGTTTTTAGTGACGAACTTCACAAACTTCATTTAAGGAACTTCATTTAAGTCTTTCCCACTAAATACTAATGCTAATTTACAAAGGCATAGAAAAGTAATGTCTCTCTTGTTAAACAATAAATTTCTATTCACATCTTAGAGCCAACTTGTCTAATTAAAATATGCAGCTTAAAAATTTACTGCATCTATTTATGTGGTTATAAAGTCCATCAATTATGATATATAAAATTGTTGTTATGTACGCAGGGACTTGCATCTACAACAACTTTAGTCGGTGATGCTGCAAAGATTTGCATGGAAGAAATTTGGGCATATTTGATGGATGATGGTGTCTCAAAGATTGGAGTTTGGGGAATGGCAGGCGTGGGTAGAACAGCTATCATAAAGAAAGTAAACAACCAACTATTAGAGGAGACTGAAAGGTTCAACATCGTGATATGGATCACTATATCAAAGGAGATGAACATCTCTAAAGTGCAGAAGAGCATTGCAGATGCTATGAAAGTAGACCTTCCTAAAGCTGAAGATGAAGCAATAAGAGCAAGGTTCATATACGAAAAGTTGTCTAAAAAGGCAAGTATGTGTTAATCTTGGATGATCTATGGGACAAACTTTCACTTGAAGAAGTAGGCATCCCCGAGCCTTCTAATGGGAGTAAACTAGTGGTAACAACCCGGTTATTAGATGTGTGTCGCTATTTGGGTTGTCGAGTAGTTAGAATGCCTACTCTTTCAAAACCAGATGCTTTGAGATTGTTCTTGAAGAAAGTAGGTCAAGATGTTTTCAACCATCCGGATCTGTTACCCATTGTGGAATCTGTTGCTGCAGAATATGATGCCAAAAGAACTGTAAGTCATTTTACAAAGATCATACATTTGATTATTATTTTTATTTTAAAAATTACTACATCTAGTTAGTATGGTTATCCGTCAATGAAAAATAAGTTGCTAGCTAAATCTTATTACATATGACATTAGGTTGTAAATTCAATAAATTAAGATTAGATCATATTTTAAAATTACCATGTTAATTTAATGGGACCTAACTCATATTATTAATGTAAATTCACCCAATTTTTGTTATGACAAATTTTTATAATATATTGTATTTTAATTTACTTTTTCTCAACCAAAAAGTTTTTTTTTTTTTTAAGAAAATGATCGATACTAGTTTCTTACTGTGAACTTTTCTGTTATGGAATTTTGGTAGATAAATAAATTCAATATTTTACTACATGCTAAGAATGGCTCTTTTAAAAATCTAGAAAGAACATATACAGTTAGACGTGCACATAGGCTAATCCTAACTATTTTAAAGTCAAAAGTATATTTTTAAAATAAAAATATTATTTATTTATAAATACTATAATTAATCGGACAAAACCTAGGGCTTAAAAACTTAAGCCCAAGTTTATGCTACACACTTGGACAGGTGGTCCAATTATTGAACGCTTTTAATATGCCTTAAAGTAATCTAATTATTACTATTAGACTAGCGAATATGGCCTGCATTTTGTGCTCTTTGTTTAATATGATTTGTACAGTTACACTTCACACAAAACAGTTTTCAATAATTTTGGATTGATTTCTTCTGGTTAGGGGCCTCTAAAATATTAAAGCTAATTTACTAGGGATATAAAATTAACGGTTCTTTCACTACAGCAAAATGACGTATTAGCGACAGTTTTGTAACGATCTTTCACTTACAAACGTCGCTAACTTTCGTGTTCTTATAAAACTTTAGGCGTTTATTATCCAAATGCCACTAAATATTCAAATAGTGGCATTTATACATATAAACATCATTAAAGATAAAAATTAACGGCATTTATCAACTAAAATACCTTGAATAATCCTATATGCTAAAATTGGAGTGATTATTGAAGGTGTTTTCGAAAAAAAACACCTTAAATAATCTGCTCATAAAAAAAATAATTATTAAAGGCGTTTTCTGTCAGAAAAGCCTTCAATAATTCTCCTAAAAAATTTGTAGAGGATTATTGAAGTTGTTTTTTTATCAAAAATACATTCAATAAATCTCCTTGTCAATTAATTTATGAAAAATAGAGTAACATTGATGGTTAGAGTATACGGTTGTTAATTATAAGATCATAGGTTTAATCCTTTCCTTCAACATTTTTTGAATTTTTTAAAAGATTATTAAAGGCGTTTCTGGCTAGAAACGCCTTCAATAATCCCTCAAAAAACGTAAGAGATCAAATCTACAATCTTATGATTAACAATCATATGCTTTAACCGATAACACTACTCTATTTTTGATAAATTTATTGACTAAAAAATGTATTGAAGACGTTTTTGGTCAAAAACGCCTTTAATAATCCTCTACAATTTTTTAGCGAAATTATTAAAAGCATTTTTTGCTTAAAACGCCTTCAATAATCTCTTATAAAAAATTAAAAATGATTGCTAAAAGCATTTTTTACAAAAAACGCCTTCAATAATCCCCTCTAAAAAAATTAGAGGGGATTATTGAAAGTGTTTTTGGCAAAAAAAACATCATCAATAATCTCTTTTAAAAAATTGAGGGATTATTGAAGCCATTTTTTGTCAAAAACACCTTCAATAAAGATTCTTATCAATAAATTTGTGAAAAATGGAGTAGCATTGATGGTTAAAGCATACGATTGTTAATTATAAGGTCATAAGTTTAATATTTCTCTTCAACATTTTTTGAACTTTTCAAGGGATTATTAAAGGCGTTTTTGGTCAAAAACGCC